TATCTTAAATTTTCTTTCTTGAGTTTGGGACTATGTGTTATAACTTAGAAGGCAAAGGAGAGCAAGCAGAAGCTTTAACATTAAAAAATGTGCGCGAAGCGCGGGAAAAATTTTTGTTTTTTTAATTCTAATTTCGTCGGAATTGATCAAAACTCCCTAAAATGTGCAATTTTTTAGAGGAAATTGGCCTACCTCAACAAAATATGCGATTTAAAATTTGAGATTTTCTAGCACTTTCCCGGGTTCAAGGTTCAAGGTTTTCCCCTCTTGAAATAGGTCTGGTAAATTTTTCTCATTTTTTATTTTATGTGTGTATACATACATAAACAAATGAGTAGTTGCATGCGTATTCTTCTTTCCATGAATCGATAAATCCCAAAAGAAAGGGTGGTCCGGGGGTTCTCCCCTGGGAAAATTTTGATTCCTAGATGGCGGGAATTGAGCTTTCCCGACATTTGAAGCGTGTTTTTATGAATTTTATATTCTTTATGTTCTTCAAAATTCGAATTTTCTAATAGCAAAAAAAAAAAAAAAAAGAAAAGAAAAGAAATCAGCTCACGGGTCATGAAAAGGTAGGCTTAGAATTCTTTTCTTTTTTCCCTTTTCTTGTTGCCCAAGGGAAGGGTAAGGACCAATGACCCCTCCTCCCCCAGATCCGCCAATATGAATTGCAAGAAAATGTAACTCGGTCGGGTACTGGATAAACATTCTCTTTCCCATCCTTCTCCTCCTTCTTTTTTTGCATTTCCGATCATACAAAAATCTCCAGACACTATATATTTTTCGCCAAAAAGTGGGGCCCCCGGCCCCCCGGTTGCCCCCCCCCCCGGTTCCGCCGGCCATGTGGAGGACCACTTTCGAAAGTTTTTGAGCAATTTACGACCACGTCCACTTTCCTCTCGTTAGGAACATGGGCCCCGCCCTGTTGAGCAAATCCTAAAGCTACTACTGTTTCGCAACTCATTAAGCACATTTTATCTGGAGGTCGTGGGTTCGATTCTACTCGATTTACTTGCAACATTCTTTACCGAAGAATTTTTGAATGTGCAGTGCTGAGTATACTGCAGAAGAGTATGCGAGATCGGACAGCGCCGGGGACAGTCTTCAGGTCATGATAATAGTAAATGTTTAATATTCTACAATGTGACCGTACTCAACGCGACAACAAATTTAAACGTATCGGGCTGCAACGTGTGACGCTTTCTGAATTGGGCTTTGAACATTATGAAACTAAAGACGCATTGAAACTCGGTGCTAGAGGACACAGTAGTTTGAATTGCTTAATTTGTGTATTTTATTAAATAATTAGTTAACAATTGAAAATTAAGTACATAATAATTGTTGAATTTTCCATAATCAGAGTATTTAAATGTTTGTATTGTAAAACAAATTGTTTATTGTTTTCTTCACAATGCCATCACAAATCGTGTATTATATTTATTGAACAATATTAATTATTACTTTAATATAATATAAGTAATAATTTATCATTTAAATTGCATAATCAATATAAAAACGTACATACACTTTATATACATATATAAGAAAGTATAATACATACTCCAAGTATTGAAATGCATGTCATTGTGTTGGGATTCAATATTTCGACATTATGTCATCATCAGGATTTCAATACTTGGAATATGTATTATACTTTCTTATCTGAGATTAATCAGTGGACCTTTCGGTTTTTATACACATATTATGAAAAGAAAAATTTGACATTAATGTTTTCAGTATATTTTGTATTCAATATCTACATTCCAGGATGACAACATCAAATATAGGCAGTTTGGATGATCGAAAGGCGAGCAAAATATAATTTCTTAATTAAAAAGTGTCCTTATGTGGTACTGTGGTGTATGTAACCATGGTAAAATTATATTCTGGTGTCATTTTTTTATTTGCACTGTGATCTTTAAAATGTTTCTTTACACCTTTGCTTCAATTTTTTTCCATATTTGTTCTGGTAGTATGACTCAAGTTCTTCCTTTATATCTATTCGTTCAAGTTTGTTCAGTGCTTTACTAATTGTTTTGAGATGATTTACTTTAGCTTCCTGTCTTTCTCGCCACTGTACCAACATTTCAATATAGGCGTCTACAATTGGTGGTGAAAAGTCTGATTTAAATCCATTTATTTCATGTTTCTCCATACCAAGGTAGATGCCGAAATTTGTCAAATCTTTGCTATCAAGTTTGTCAGAGATAAACACCATGTCAATATCATATAAGCGACCTGCAATAGAACACATACATTTCCATTAATACTGTATAGACAAATCCTTTTAGACATAGGCGTAGATTGGGGGGGGGGAGAATATATCCCCCCAATATTTGACAAGGGGGATGATCACTTGTATCGTCCCCCCAATATTTTGACTATGTATGGGATAAAATGGAGCTTTACACACTTCAAAAGACTGTCATAGAAATAATTTGCAATGTCTTATGCGCTTACACAGATGAAAATTAGCATAATTTATTAATGTTGATAACAAAATTAATTTATCTGGTACCAATCTAAGCTCTTCTTTCCTTAGATGTTAGATGTGCTTGCAAAGCAGGCCACATTTTCACACTGAAGGGTGTGTATGACATCAGTAATTTTATGTCAATTCCAAGAATTTTCAATCATCCCCCCAATGAAAAATACTTTTCTACGCCACTGATTTTAGAAAAGGTGTGCTCTATTATTTAAACAGATATTCATAAAATGAACAGCAAATCTGCTTCATCAAAATATTTTCCCAATTAAAAATCATAAAGATACTAAGCGAGAGATCAGTGGTCTAATAGTGGTTAAGATACCAGGATGTCATGGATTCAATTCCCACTTGAATTACTAAGTTAGGAGAAAATAATGTTGGAATATATTTATTTGCATAAAACAGCATAAAACGTGATGCATCGGGATTGTTTCTCAGGATGTGTGAAAATGGTAATGCACATTTAGAGAATAGCAGTATTTTTGTATTAGATTTTCACTAACCTTGCACAATAGATATTGAGTAACCCACATTTATGGCCATGAACCCAGGCTACACTTAATACACTATAATGTTATCTGGATAGGCAAAATTAATATTTTTGATTTTTGATTTGACGACCTAGTCATTCGCCGGACGACAAGGGGTCTAGGCCTGTCCGAACAGCCACTGGACCACATAACGTGATGCAAGGGATGTAATGATTCTCAGCAAGTGCAAAACGGCAACAGATTTTCACTAACCTTGCCCTTGCGTTGGAATTTGCGGCAGATTTATCTGAGTTGGCGCAACTTCTGACTCGTCACTGTAACCATGCTTTTCACGTACAAGTTGTGCAAGTCCAACAAGCTTCTGTTGTCTCAAAGCGTTCACCATGGTTGGTACTTGTTGGCTCAAAGATTGGTTATTCCTCCAAGTAACCAGCAATTGCATGATGCAGTCTTCGACCTGTCTGTTGTTTTTTGCTATCTTTTTTATATCGGTCCACTTGAGTCCAAGACGCACTCCCAGTCTCCTCCATGATTCGGGATCCAGTTTGTCACAGATGAACAGCAAATCTTGATCATTACAACACTTTCCTTAAACAACGAGTAAAAAACACTTAGTTGATGACATCATTGACAATAATGTGTACTATTTGTTACTTTGGTAACAAAATAGAAACAAGCTGTAGGAAAAAAAATGTGAGGTTAATTTGCTATGTATTTCCAAAATCATTAAAATTCTTACCTGCTTGTTCAGTGACAAGATTCTCTTCGCTAATTTCACACTCTAACAATTCTTCAGCTAGTTGACTAAGATCATGTTGTTTCAGAGCAGTGCACAACACTTTACATTGATGAATATCGCTACTGATGTTGCTCCTCCAGTAATTCATCATATTTTCGGCAGCCTTATGAGTCTGTGTACCATCAGCATTGAACTTGTTCACTTTCGACCACTTAAGTCCCAAACGGACACCAAACCTTCTCCAGCTGAGACTCAACTCGTCAGAAACTGTCACAATAGTGGCGTCATCCACAAAACCTAACATGCAAGATAATTATTATAAAGAAAACATAATTATCCCAACTGTATCTGACATGAGTTTTAGACACTCCATTAAAAAAAAATTAAAACTTTTACCAAAAAACAAAAAGAAAAAAAGATGCCAATGCAATTGATCCCTTGTCTTCCCAAATTACAGTAGTTTTTTACACTTTCTGCTTATGCATAATGTTGTTTAAGAAACCGAATAAATAATGAAATAAGTGACTGGAGATTCAGAAAAAATAATAGCATGAGATTAACTTTTAAACCATTATCAAGCAGTACAGATGACTTAAAACCGGTTAGTTGCAACAAAACGTTTGTTTTCAATAAAACCAGCACCATTTTAATCACATATAAAGTCTGTGATCCATTATTGAAAAAAATCCATAAACATACCTGTTGGTATATGTACTACTTGCTGAGACTGTGGACGATCTAGAGAGTAATGAAATAATACATCAAGGTAAAACAACACATTGCCTTTGATAACAAAATTTTTTCCAAATTTTTCAACTTTGCTAAATTATGTTCATTTCACGTTGGTAATTTTTCTATTTCTACTATTTTCTCTCATAACAGAGCTTACAGCTGTGTTATATTGTAACATTTACAGCCAACATATTTGTGAGGTCTCGCCACAAAATGAGTCTTATGGTTAGAAATTAAAAAATTGAGTTTATATTATATTTGGGTAGATCACATTATAAGCTTTCATTTGGTCTTTGAATGGCTTCCCTACTATAAGTAAATCCACAGATGCAAGCATTTAAAATTAAGGTGTATAAGAACCACGTTTTGGTGAATATCTCAATATGTGTTCACCAACGATGTGACTCATTTTGTGGTGAGACCGCACTTTTTTACTGCATAAGTTCATTCGGTTGTTTAATTTTTGTCAAAATAGATTTACCAAAGCAGACCTGAATGACATAACATAACTGTACGTTACCTTGCACTCGTGGCATGTCATCTCCAAATAGTCGACGATAACGCGGCAATATATTGCTTCCACATGGCAGCACATCCTGGTCAAACGTGCGTACGATTTGCATGTGGGCGTTACCCGAGTCTGAACTGCATTCGCAAGCAATGTACCTCGTCAATTCAATGCCTCGTACACCACTCAGACAAAATAGCTTTAGTTCCTTTTCGAGGAAACTCAGTACCTGGAGGAGATGAAAAATATAGGTTAAATCTATGTTAAATAATTAATGTACATTAAGGAATTGCATAAATTTAAAACATTAGAACATTCGATTAATTCTCAAAAGTCTCTCAAATCAATGGAAGTTGTAGTACCTTCTTGCACACTGTCGGTGAGGGCTCATCTTGCTGACTGGGTTCCAAGATTGCGATTGTTGTCTAGAAAACATAACATTAAGCTCCGTCATTTGAAGACAAATATGATTTTGATACTCATTTATTCTTGGCAGTTCTAGTAGTTTTTTTCTGTGTGTATGTTCTTTATATTTCATATTGCTTTTATATACAGCACTTATATTTAGGCCTATATATTTTTTTAACGATTTATGATTGCAGTGACGACGATGTTTATGTTTGTGGCTTACATGATGTTTTTAGTGGCTTTGGCTTTTTATTAATTATATTCCGGCATATGTATGAAATCTGTAGTCTTATGTGTATTGTGTTTGCATAAACATATTTGAAAATTTATAATACTATATTTTTACCATTTAGGCTATGTATAATCTTTTCTATTCATAAAGAAAGTAATGAAAATATTAAAAAAAATTTAAAAAGTATCATAATAGTCCTACTTACTTTAAACATACGACGATTCCTCATTGTTGCTACACTCATAACCACTTTGTGAAATTGATCGATACTCAACTCCACATGCTCATAAGACAGTTTTGGCTCAACATCTTGTACTTGGAATTCCTCAATGAACTTAGTTACTCCTCGCTGGAAAAGATCGTCAGGTAGATACCGTCCAAAGTCATGAAAGATTGAAACTGCATGCATCCCATCATCCTTAACGGGTCTATCAATACGTTCAGGCTTTAAACGTGAAAGAACGTAGAAAATACGGCCACGAAAACCACTCTAGAAAACAAAAAGAAAAATTAAAAAAAAAAAAAACATTTAAATAAGTTCATGGCTCATGATACCACAATTGTAATTTGTTTATACTGTATCGTCTGAGATTGGTGCTATGAAACAGACCACTATATAAAAAAGAAAACAGGTCTCTCTCTCTAATTAAAAACCACTTTTGGACCGGAGTTTCCAGCTCTGGTCTTTCATTAAATTAATAAAGATAAGACATAAATCGTCAAATTTTGTTACGAGATCACAGAAAAATGATCTGTAATTGGAGGTAGACCTGTATAGTTAAAATTACCTTTGTAATGTTTTTCTCACACACCAGTCCAAACTTCTGCATGAGAGATACAAAGAACTCAAACGTCTCATTTGAAAACTTGAACTTCTTCCACAAATGTCTTAACAGATGCTCCTCAAGGACACCTGCGTCCAATTTCCTCCAGGCCTCTATGTGTTTTTGTTCCTGTAATTAATAATTTTAACTTAGGCCTACAGGGTTATGTTTTCATTATAAATGTTATTATTATTATTATTTATTTAGGAGTACAACTCATGCATCAAGGATTGTCAATAGTTAATATATTACGGTACATGTACATTACTCTAGGTGACAATACCTGACACAAGACAAACATACATACAACGATGCTTTACACAACTAAGTCTCAATATGAGGTTTAGGGGGAAAAAAACCTGCAGCACTCTACATACCTTTGCTTCTATAATTACATCATTCAACTTAGGCCTATATATGCAACATTTTCATTACACAAAGACACTAGAAACTAGATAATCCCGCTATTTTCTTAGACTTAAATTCTTGCCTTTTTCGTTCACTGTCACGCCCCCCCCCCCCCCCCCCCACTTTCCCCCCACCCCCTCCCCACATGGTCAAATTCATGAATGTTTCCGATCCTAACTAAAGGCAGTGCCAGCAGGATGAACCTCCCTTACATGAAAATAATATGGTTCCAATTTGTTTCCATTTGCTATGCTTGCCGACCTCCTAGAAGTTTGGTAGACCCCAGGGGGAAAACCATGGTTCTAAGATATTATATGATGTGAAGTTAGCTCACCATAAGCTTAGGGTCAATAACAGTGATTATTGTTTTAAACATGTCAACTAATTTTATCAGATCTAAAACAATAATATCCCTTAAGGCATCGTCATCAGGAAAGTAGAGAATTTCGCCAAGGTCGTGTAGATACTCAAGCAGTACCCTTTGAGCATCTTGTTTGAATTCCTCCTGTTTGACCGCACACCGCTCAACTAAAGCGATCACCTGATAAAGAAAAAAAAAAACAAGTTTAATGGTTTTAAATTAGTGTACAAATTGATACCAAAACATTCACTGACAAAGGCGGTTTATTCGCAAATCAGTGACAAATTTATTAAATTACGTTTTTACTTGAAAATAATGCCTGACAGTTATTAAGTTCAATTTTGGGCTGTTACTGTCTGTTCCTTTGTGCTTGTTTATTGCTGTTTCTGTTCTTATAAAGTTTAATGTTTTAATGAAATGAAAATAATAATCACAAGTTAATAATAATTAGACTTACATAGCGCTTATAAGACCTCTAAATTAGCGCTTCACATTTTTAACCCCCTCCCTCAACCCACCCTGTCATTGCATCAAGCACATATGGTACACATGATTGGGGAGAATTCCATAATGTTGCAGGTGTAATCTGCGAATTTTGTGTTTGAGCCTACCAGGTACCCACTTATTTATACTCCTGGGTGGACAGAGACAAACATCGGTGAAGCCTAGACGGAAGAGTAATTCACAGCGAGGGATTGAACCGCCAACTTCAAGGTTGGGAAGCAGAACCGAAATGTTGCGCCATCCTGCTCTTTCTTTAAATTATTAAATGTCTAACCTTTTTGGTTGGTAGGTAGATATGCTTCTCTTTCAACTTCTGAATTTCCTGTTGAACAAGCAACCATTTCAAAGGTAGTTTTCTAACCATCTTCTTTGCGAATTTTAATATTTGGTCCATGATTTTAGAAGCATTGCTCCTGGCGAATGGTAAGCTGTTCTCAATAGCAAAGAAACTTGACACCATGCTTTCATAAGGTTTCCCTTCCAATGCTTTTCTAATTTTATTGAATATTTCTTCAACCTGAAGTTAAACAAAAATATTAATCATCAGACATAATATGAAAAAAATTCAACAACATCAACAACAAAAGGGCAGCAATGAAAGCAATGTAAAAACAAACAATAAAATAACAATAGCCATGTGTGTTTAAGTGATCACCTTAGTTAAGTATCAACCATTGCTAAAAATGCCATCCAATTAAAATAATGTTTGATTTTTAGATTTAGATTTTTGTAGTGTATGAAATACCCGAAACAAATAAGTAATAATTCCAATGTTGTCCAGTGATTCAAAGATTTTGTATATAAATTAATCAATAATTGATCGAATAATCAGTCAATCGGTTCATCGCTTAACAAATTGATTGATTAATTTTGACCGTGATGATGATGATGAACAGATGATGATAATGATGACAGCGACAGCGATGATTTTGATGATGATGAGGTTGATTAGGATGATGTACCGGTGACAATCCTGAATCTGGGCCTAAAACACATCCTTTAACAATCTTATAAGTAAGCAAGATTTCCCCTTGACTCCGAGGATATCGTATGCCACACCCCATCGAGAAAGAGCAGAGCAAATAATTAGAAGTACCAGTAGTCTATTCGCGTGCACTTTATGTGTGCGACAATACTTTCCGCTTACTTGGCCCCTGGTTCAATTCCTTTCATATACTTTCTGTGTTTAAAATGGATTGGAGGGCCAGCTATGATGCAGTGGCGGCGCTTCGAGGGGGGAGAGGGCCTAGGCTGAGGGGAGGAAAACCACAATTCATCTGGGAGAAAAAAAGATTATATATTTTCCACATATTAAATCGATTAAATAAACCTTTGAAACCCCTAAATTGTCATATTTTTGGGGGTATCCTTCTCTGAACCAGTTCACAAAGATGTTGAGCGATGCCAGACCACACCCACTTTGTTCTCGTCGGGAACATCGACCACCCGTCGGGCAAATCCTGTTATTATTATAGCACACAATGGAAGCATTATGCAGTTGGCCATGTGTTATAAGGTGCACATTAAAGAATGCAGCACACTCTAAAAAAATATTAGAAAAAATTACTGTTTGTATGTTTTACTTTGTAAAAATCCTACAGCTTTGTTCAGCTATTTTTCTTGCTGTCCGCCGTCCTTTTATTGTCGGGTGGGCAAGTCAGTTAAATGTAAAAACAACCTTATTCATCCAAAATGGAAACAGATCTCTATGGTCACAAAATAATGGCTGTTTTGGTTTTGCGCCAGTCATGGTTGCCAGTGACCACAGAAGAGTTAGCTGGTTCAAATATTAGTAAAGAAAACTAAAAAATTAAAATGTTGTCACTTTACGTCTTGGCCTTTATCATCCATATAAAATTCATTTGTTTTGTATTTGTGTGACAATATCAATTTGTTATTGTAGTCACATTTTCAATAAATCGTTATAAAAAAATGCTACATAATATATAGAAAAGATTTCTTTTTTCAAAGAATGGATGTTGTGCTGGCTCTATCGGTGAACAGCTTTAAAGCAGAACCAGATTGATGTGGGGTTATAAAGGCCGTTGAGGCCAAATCCTTTCCTACTACAAGTAGTGTCAAGTATATACTCAACAGTGTACACATTTATATGCGGTATAACTTAATACCTTCTATTTTGTTTGTAGTTTATATATGATATGTTACAGTACTTTATACTGTTTTATTGTTGACTTGGTGCATGACGTAGTTGTTTACCTTTCTTTTCTGTTCCTCTTCATTCCCCTTGAGGCTGTTTAGGTGAGTACCAATCACTAGTACTGGTGGTGAAGGTTGTCCATCTTCCAATTTTGAATCCCTACTGTTTGTATATACTGAACGAATCCAGTACAGAATGAACTCAAGGTTTGTCATTCGATGTTCGTATATATCACCCTGAAATGAAACAAAAATATATACAGTAAAAAAATTTTAAGAAACTATCGTATGTATTAATGTACTGTGAGTCATCTGTAAAAGATCACTTAATCCTGATTTTAAAGTTGATAAAATTCATGCAAAACCTGCTAATGAATAAAATGTTGATAAGAAATAATGCTTACAGTGGTTGGATCCCTAACTTTGGCGGGGGCATCAAGATCATCTTCTAGGTTAAATACCACACAAACAACGGCAAAAGATACCATAAAAATCTACAAGAAAATCATTCACAATCAATAATTTTTAATACTGAAAACTAAAAAAAAATACCTAGAATAATTTTTTTTTCAATTCAATTTATTATTCAATATAATGACTTTACTCGTTGTATAACATGATATATCGGCTGGCCTCCGAAGTCCCAGATGCTCATAATGAAATCGTTGCCAGATTTTTGCAATTCTTGCGTCGCATCTCCTTTTGTGAACTTGAGTTCTTTTATACGCTCCTGGACTTTAGTAGCGATGGTTTCAGGGACCTCTTCTATCGACTGTGCCTGTGTCTGCTCTTTGGTATCTGATTCCATTTTCAGGTTTCTGGCATCAACATTTGATGATGATTGTCCTTATAGAAGATTCAGAATAAAAACTTAAAAATGCATAATTCAAAAACCAAGAAATAGTAGGATAATGGAGGTTTTCCACTGACCCTACAAGGTTAGGTAGTGCTTGGTATAGTGAAGTGTCAGTGAGTTAGTGAGAGTTTTTTTTTTATCTCTTGTTTCAAGTTCTATTAGCTGTTCCATGTGGTTTTCATTTGGCAATGTACCATGAACTTGTTCCATGAGCAACCATAGGTATTATGTTGTTAATAGAGGTGCGTCGGCACCAAGGCTATGACATGTGATGGCCCTCTGTGTGAAATACCAATTAAAAATAATGTATTCATTAAATCAATTTCTTATGAAATGCAAACACGATCGTCTTACCCTGATTATATTTCCTCTTTTTTTTAGCTGGTGGTGACTCGCTCTTCAAATATTTGTAAGACAAAAAGAAATAATAAATCAACCATTATATACTTTAGCAGGATTATATCCATTATTTGTTATTGTTAGTAACAATAAATATTTCAATATTAAAAAACTTAAATGCTCGTGAAAATCACTAAAATGATAGTGTGTAAATCTTACTTGTCTTGTTACTTCTACATTCTTCTCAGTTTCTTTTTTTAATATTCTTTTCGCCATGGAATCTGCAATTTTTGCTTCATACATGTCATTGGCACCAGCTGTCCAGAGATAGAGTATAATTAATTTATTCAAATAAGATTTTAATATATGATTAAGTTCATTTTGTTAGTTCAATAATTGATTTTAGACAGATCTCTTGGTGAATAGTGATTTGCATATTTATTAACAAATTTACAATAATCCCAACCTTGATAAGAATTGACTTATAGGATAGGTACAAGGAAGTTTCACATATAGTGAAAGCAGTTAGGCACACTGCAATAATTTGGAATCTGTACTTCGAGGTTGGGTTTCCATACTTCACTGTGCATTTCGCTTGTGTCTTTGAGGAAGGCACTTTATTTACATTGCTTCAATCTACCCAGCTGTATCAACAATGGGTACCAGCAAATTGCTGGGAATAACCTGCAGTGGACCAGCGTCACACCCAGCGGAACATCCTGCTCTCATCCGTTTTAGGCTGCTTGAAAATTGGGATAAGCTACAGCACATAATATGAGTCCCATTGCTTCGTATTGATTTATATAACTTTACAAAAATGTTTACGCTTTACTTACAATGATCAGGTGATGTTTCCTTCCAATTCAATTCATCGTGCGATTCATGGGTACACACCGTTGTGTTGGCTATTGCGTCAGTAATACCCTCATGTGGATCAAAACTAAAGCAAAATGAAATTATTAATCTAAAGATATTGCTATTACAGAAAGCATTATAAAATAAATAATGTACAGAACGTAGATATATAAATAAATGTGCAGAAACGTACTTAAAATAATGGATTGATATTATTGAAGCTTTCATACTGTACATTTATTAAAGTTGTCGATTCTTGAAAAAAATACAAAAATTATTTGAATTACAGGTTTCTTAAAAAAACATTTGAAGACTTCACCTATTTCTACTGGTTAAGTAGGTAAAGCAAACATTGGAAATATTTAGCTTACGTATTCCTTAAAAATGACTTGATAGTAGAAGTCTTGCCGACTCTCTCGAGGCCCATAAAAACTGTCCTTCCTTGATTAACCTCTGCTTCTCCCTCAGCTAGAGCATCATTAAAAGCTTCCATTGCTTCGTGCCCACGCGCCAAGATTTCCATTGGAACATTCCCCGCTTTAAGTATAAATATTTCTGATTTACACATTGAATTACCTCATGAAATTTGTTATATATGAAAAGAAATTGATAATATTATTGAGGCCTGCAATGTCGTTTTACTAGAGAGGTCTTTAACCTATTCGTTCTGTAGGCATACACATTTTTCATTGCTTTAATTGTGATAGTTGCATTTCTTTCCCCATAACAATATTCTTATCAATGGTGCAACGATTACGTTGATCATACCCATTTGTGATTACGGATAGCAGTTTAACCCAGATAAAAGCAACTTGCAAAACA